ATGGATTTTATATGGACCACACACCATTTTTTACACACCATTTTATAGTGGAGTGCCTTGAGATTTGGAATTCTCTTAAAGGGTGCCTGAAACACTGAGAAACAGCACTACCTCAAATACTTCAGCTACCACTCATGGATAGAGCGGGAAAGCACCTTTATCAAGTTGTATTACTTTGTGTGTCCCCACGTGGGGAGATTCCCCAATATTATTCCTGGTCCCCATTGTCACCAAGACAGAAAGTGAAGGGAAAACCAACATTTTGAGTTGTCAACAGAGCAAGAAGTGAGTAACAATCCCCCAATGGGGACACCTTTTCCTATGACAGCTCTCTTAGATGGGATTTCTGTTGACTTTGGAGAGAGTTTCTCTTATTCCCTATAGCATCTGCAGGACAGGAAGTAAAGAAAACATTCCTTATTGGGACACAGGTAGCAATAAATAAACTAATAGGGCCTTTTAACCCTTCCATACTTTTGGCTTTAGAACCAGTTTAAATAATGTATTCATTAACTGGAAACAAATGTTCAAAACCAAAAACTGCTGCAATACGTTGTGGTCACAATCCAAGAATCTCCCGGGACTGCGGGGAAAACACCACTGAATCTTCAGGGGTTTGCCTACAGTAAGAAGACGATAGTATACTTTGCATGAAGTGGAATAGTGTGGTCAGAATCCAAGAATCCCTTGAAACTGCGGGGAAAACACCGTTGAGCGTTAATGGGGTTTACATACTGGAAGAAGATGAATGGAAATAAGTGGGGGTCCGAATCCCAGAATCTCTTCAGATGGTGGAGAAAAGACCGTTGAATCTTCACGGATGTACATACTGTAAGAAGAAGCCCAATTAGGTTTAATTCATGAAGCTTTACACAAGAATACATATATTTAATTTGAGTCATGTGACTGTTATTTTCCATTTCATTGGACTCACCTAAAAAAATAACTGTCACTTTTTAAAAAAAAATATGAATCTTTATCCTGTTGTTTTAGCTTTGTGAATGGAGCCTTTTGCATGAAGTGGAATAAGTGGTGGTCACAACCCCGGAATCTCTGCGGAGAAAACACCATTGAATCTTCATGAGTTTACACACTGTAAGAAGAAGACCCTTTAGGCTTCATTCACAAAGCTTTATAGAAGAATATTTATATTTATTTTCAGCCATGTGACTGTAATTTTCCAACTAATTGGACTCACCTGAAAATAACTAACTGTCACTTTTTATATAAATAAGTATCTTTATCCTGTTGTTTTAGCTTTGTGAATGGAGCCTTTTCTGTGAAGTGGAATAAGTGTTGGTCACAACCCCGGAATCTCTGCGGAGAAAACACCATTGAATCTTCATGAGTTTACATAATGTAAGAAGAAGACGCTTTAAATGAAGTGGAATAAGTAGTGCTCAGGGACGGTGGGGAAAGGACAGTTGAATCTTCATGAGTTTACACGCTGTAAGAAGAAGCCCCCTTAGGCCTAATTCACAAAGCTTTACACAAGAATAAATATATTTATTTTCAGTCATGTGACTGTCATTTTCCAATCTCATTGGACTCTCCTGAAAATAACTGTCACTTTTTCTTCAAAATAAGAATCTTTATCCCGTTGTTTTAGCTTTACAAATGGCTTTTTGTGTGAAGTGGGATAAGTGGTGGTCACAACCCCAGAATCCCAAGGGACAGTGGGGAAAGGACTGTTGAATCTTCAGGGGTTTACATCCTGTAAGAAGACGCTTTGAATGAAGTGGAATGTTTAATTAAGAGCTGTGAGACCATTAAAATGTGTGGTCATTGCAGAGATTCCCAGAAATGGTATTTGCTACGTTCAGGCAGCAACGACTGTGCCAATTCCCCAGGCCATGGGGATGACGTTCTCATGAATTGGAAGCAGATCTGGAACTCAGCAATACATTTTACTTGTGCGAATATAAAAAGTCATAAGAATAAAAAAGAAAACTTTCTGGTCTCATAAAACAATCAAATGTTTAAGTTGTAATTAATTCTATTCATTCATCAACTATAGATGATTGAGAATATAATTCGCATTGGATGCTGCTGAGTAGTAGGGTTACCATACAGGGGCGTAACTAGAAATCACAGGGCCCCATAGCAAAATTTTGTATGGGGCACTGTGATTTCTACTTACGCCCCTTGCAGAGCCCACTTGGATCCCATACAGCCCACCTGAGGGTGACCCTGCAGAGCCCACCATGTACTCTCAAAGGTGGGCTCTGCAGGGACTCAGGTGGGCTGGTCACACTCCATACCTGTCTGCCTCCTCTTCCTCCACGGTCACTAATGGGCCCCGCCTCCTCCATCACTGGGCCTTGCCTCCTCCTCTGATGCCGACCCCGGGCCCCGCCTCCTCCTCCACTGCCGGGTCCAGCCTCCTCCCCCGCCGCTGCTGGCTCTCACTGACTGGCGGCGGTGGAGAGGAACTGTCAGTGATCTGAACAGCGGCGCATTCCCCTTCCCAGCCGTCAGTGACAGCCAGCAGCATGAGGTGACATAGCGACCTAGGCGGCCCGCACGGCATCAGGGTTGTTCTGGCCAGGCCCCCCTGTGCCCCGGGCTCCATAGCGGCCGCCTGGGTCGCTATGGCGATTGTTATGCCACTGTTACCAAAAAAATGGGTGTGGTTGGCTACAAAAAAAGTGGGTGTGGTTTAGTCAACATACTAGGTGGCATTTGTACCTTTTCAAGTTCTGCATTAAAAGTTATTTTCTTTTTAAGTGTTGAATTTACTTGTTTATTTATTTATTTATATTTTTATTGTTGCTGTGTTGGTTTACTTTTATTGCTGTCTGTGCCCTCAAAGAGGAGATCTCCATCCACTTCCTCTTTTTCGGTGACCAAACAGGAAGTGAAACCGAACCAACCCAATGGGGACACAGATGGCAAACAAAATATCTTGGGTATGGAAATAAGGGATTATAAGATTAATGGTAAAGTCCAACCATAAATTATTGCTGATTGATAAATTTGCCTGTGAGGAAACCAACTTCTTTAGAGGGTTATAGACCAATAAAAACCTGACAGAGGCTCTTGTAACATGTCTGCAGTCTCTGACCATCTCCAGTTGTATGTTTGCAGTCTCTGACCATACTGTTGTATGCCTGCAGTCTCTGACCATCTACTGTTGTATGTCTCCCATCTGCCACAGCAGCAGAGGAAGTCATAGATCTCTATTGCAGTGACATCACCTCACTTGTAGTCCTTTGCTTACATCTTCCATACCTGGGGCTAGGGGAAAAGTCTGCTGGATCCTGTGCATTGCACCCACGATTTATTGATCACAGTTGCAATGCTCTGCAGGCTTTAATAAACATTTTTATTTAATTTTTTTAATCAATGTTGGAGACACAGAACACACACAGAGACCAAGAGTGTTTTTTAGGACCCTTGACCAGGAGGTTCTTTATTAGGGGTTCTCAACATTAGGATACGGCAAGTGTAGGAGCAATCCGCGCAAAACAAATGGCTAAAACAGCAAGGGTTTGCAAGGGCAAAGTCCGGGGGCACAGGGCAGCAATCCAGATAGAGTCCAGGGGCACAGGGTAGCAATTCAGGCAGAGTCCAGGGGCACAGGGTAGCAATTCAGGCAGAGTCCAGGGGCACAGGGCAGCAATCCAGGCAGAGTCCAGGGGCACAGGGCAGCAATCCAGGCAGAGTCCAGGGGCACAGGGCAGCAATCCAGGCAGAGTCTGGGGGCACAGGACAGCAATTCATGCAGAGTCCAGGGGCACAGGGCAGCAATCCAGGCAAAGTCTGGGGGCACAGGACAGCAATTCATGCAGAGTCCAGGGGCACAGGGCAGCAATCCAGGCAAAGTCTGGGGGCACAGGACAGCAATTCATGCAGAGTCCAGGGGCACAGGGCAGCAATCCAGGCAAAGTCTGGGGGCACAGGACAGCAATTCATGCAGAGTCCAGGGGCACAGGGCAGCAATCCAGGCAAAGTCTGGGGGCACAGGACAGCAATTCATGCAGAGTCCAGGGGCACAGGGCAGCAATCCAGGCAAAGTCTGGGGGCACAGGACAGCAATTCATGCAGAGTCCAGGGGCACAGGGCAGCAATCCAGGCAAAGTCTGGGGGCACAGGACAGCAATTCATGCAGAGTCCAGGGGCACAGGGCAGCAATCCAGGCAGAGTCCAGGGACACAGGGCAGCAATCCAGGCACAGCAAAGGGGTAACATCAGCAGGGGACTGTACAGTTGGAGTCCAGGGACCAGTGCCGGTGCTACCATACAGGCAGCACAAGCGGCCGCTTGAGGGCGCTGGTGGGGGAGGGTGGAAAAACACCTCCTCACCCAGCTCCCTCTGCTGTCGGCTCTCTCCGTAGCCGCACTATTTACATATGAATGGGTCGCGGCTTATTGATATGCAAATTACCACTGCCCATTCATATGCTAATAACTCGGCCGGGACAGTGCAGAATATCTAGTCTCTTTCCAATGAGACCCTCCAGTTATGAGTATGTCATGTATAACACTGAAGTAATAGAACCTCTGGCTACTCTGAGCACAAGGCTGTTAATGGTACCCGGAGTCTTAGCATTCTGCTACCTCAGGCCAAATTGCCGGTGACAAAGAGTCTAACTTTGCCCTGGTTTAGGATACAACATATCCTGTGCTTCCTGCTGAGAGGAGCCTGATCTCCAGACCCCCGCCCCGCCCCTCCCCTCCCTGTGTGAAGGACTGCATGGGTAAATTATGTAGATCAGCTGACTGATTAACATGAGGCCTTTTGGACATTGGTTCTTACAGGTTGTTAATTTCCAAACACATCTAATATTTCTGATCTACGTTACAGTGCACATAAAACCTAAAAATCCTTTCTATATTCCCTAACTTGTGATCTTGCTGGAAGAGTAATAATGGTTGGAGGTCTTCCTGTGATAATGGGGGGGGAGGAGGGGGCATTGCTCTGTGTGAGTCCTCCGCCTTGCACAGGAATAGGACTTCATCATGATAATGGAGAACATGAGACAACTGTCAGCTGAAACATGCCGGACTCGTATTTACTAAATGATACAACCCGTGCCCGTGACGTGGTGAGTGAAGGAGATCTTACGATAGGTGAGAACAGAACTCCGTATTGTTGACAATTGTTACATTGTAAATCGGGAGAGTGAAATAACAATGTTTACAAATAGAACGAATCGGTTATTTTTTGTATCATTTTGTCTGAAAGGGGTTTTTGAATCATCCGACTTATCCGAAGGAAACTGTAGCTGCTATAGGTGGGCATGTCTACAGAGGAATCTTCAGTCATCACATTGGTGCTACATCCAGTATTACCATAGCAACAAGCATCCAGTGATCCCATGGTAACAAGCATCCAGTGTTCCCATGGCAACAAGCATCCAGTGTTCCCATTGCAACAAGCATCCAGTGATCCCATGACAACAAGCATTCAGTGAACCCATGGCAACAAGCATTCAGTGATCCCATGACAACAAGCATTTAGTGAACCCATGGCAACAAGCATTCAGTGATCCCATGACATCAAGCATCCAGTGATCCCATGGCAACAAGCATCCAGTGATCTCATGACAACAAGCATTCAGTGAATCCATGGCAATAAGCATCTAGTGATCCCATGGCAACAAGCATCCAGTGATCCCATGGCAACAAGCATTCAGGGAACCCATGGCAACAAGCATTGCAGTGATCCCATGGCAACAAGCATTTAGTGATCCCATGGTAACAAGCATCCAGTGATACCATGACAACAAGCATTCAGTGATCCCATGGCAACAAACACCCAGTGATCCCATGGCAACCAGCATCCGGTGATCCCATGGCAACAAGCAAAGTTAAACATTTCACAGCTTGTTCATCTTTCGGCTGGCCATTAATAGCATTCTAAACCAGGGGTAGGCGACCTTGGCACCCCAGCTCTCGTGAAACTACAAGTCCCGTGAGACATTGCAAGACTCTGACAGCCACAGGTATGACTCCTACAAGCAGGGGTATGATGGGATTTCTAGTTTCACCACAGCTGGAGTGCCACAGTTGGCTACCCCTGTTCTAACGGTTATTCTTGGAATTTAAAAAAAAAATGTTTGTGTCTGCCAGTAAGTGTTCATTCCAGTAAGGACATAAATGCCTCGTCTGGTATTGAAAAGAGAAATCAAATATAATGTTTCATTTCCTCCCTGAATTAAATTTAGACTTATTTTAAAGAGCAGAGGAAACTGCGGCACGCAACCACAAAACAAGCGGCCAGCTGAACTGTGTGCACTAAAAATAAAAAGATTAAAATTAAAAAATGTGCTTGATCAGTGAAATTCAGCATAAGTTCAACCTGACCTCCGGCCTCCCCTTCTGTCTTGTATCTGACCTTCGGCCTCCCTTTCAGTCTTCTATCTGACCTTCGGCCTCCCCTTCAGTCTTCTATCTAACCTCCGACCTTCCCTTCTGTCTTCTATCTGACCTCCGACCTTCCCTTCTGTCTTCTATCTGACCTTCGGCCTCCCCTTCAGTCTTATATCTGACCTCCGACCTTCCCTTCTGTCTTCTATCTGACCTCCGGCCTCCCCTTCTGTCTTCTATCTGACCTCCGGCCTCCCCTTCAGTCTTCTATCTGACCTCCGGCCTCCCCTTCTGTCTTCTATCTGACTCCTGGCCTCCCCTTCAGTCTTCTATCTGACCTCCCCCTTCAGTCTTCTATCTGACCTCCGGCCTCCCCTTCAGTCTTCTATCTGACTTCCGTCCTCCGCTTCAGTCTTCTATCTGACCTCCGTCCTCCCCTTCAGTCTTGCACAGTTGCAGCGGCGCCTCCCTGGACTGAAATGGCTTCCTCTGATGTCACTGCACACCAGGAGCTTCTCACCATGTGCATTAGAAGCTGCAGCAAGTCAGATTGATCTCACCTCATATCCTGGCTGGAGACCATCCAGCATCATCTAGCGCTTTTCTCCCCTTGCCTGTCTCTGGCCCGCCGATTTCATTCACTGTATTTCACTTATTGCAATCATGGAGGCTCAATATAACATGTGGGCATTCTAGGGGTGTCTATATGCAAATACAGGCTGCCTAGAAACACCCGCTGCTCCAGACTGGCATCCTCCCATCAAGGCATTTTGATATGTGCATAACTCCTCCCAGCCCACTGCTTGCATCAAGGCTCCTTGAGTAGTGCACTGAAGAACACATAGAAAGACACATTAAGGGGAAGTATGCAGTATCAGTGAGAAGGGGGGATAGTGTTGGGGTTTATTGGGAAGGGGAAAAAAAGAGGGGGGAAAAAAGGGGAAAAATTAATATTTTTAAATGTTTTTAGCATGTTTATGTGGGGGAAGGAAAATATAAGCCGATTAAACTTTAGCTTTAAAATGTATCTCTAGCCATTTCATTTTTTTTTTAAGTTTTAGAAAATGTAGCCATTTTTATTTATTTATTTAATTATTTGTTTATTATTTTTTATTTATTTGTTTAATATGTATATATTTTTATGTTTTGTAATATTTATTCATTTATCATTTAATTATTTTTATTTATTGGTTTAATATTTATTTATTATTATTTATTTATTTATTATTTATTTATTTAATTATTTGTTTATTATTTTTTATTTATTTGTTTAATATGTATATATTTTTATGTTTTGTAATATTTATTCATTTATCATTTAATTATTTTTATTTATTGTTTTAATATTTATTTATTATTATTTATTTATTTATTCTGTCTATTCCTTCCCAGTTGGAGAGATTTCCTCATAATTCCTGTTGTGTATTGGGAACAGGTACTGAGATTAAATCTCCCCCAAAGAGACATAGAAAGCCTTTCATAGACATTTGCTGTCAGAACAGGTGTCCCCATTGAAAGAACTTCCCTCTATTTCTATTCAACTAAGTCAACTGTAACATGTGGGATTTCCCGTCATGTTCTGCTCCAATCAGGACACACAGAGAGGGTGAAAAAACCACAAGTTCGGCTGGAGACATTTGTATAAT